ATACAGAGGATACAGGAGTGCTCATGTATAGGGGCACATGTACCCCAATGTTTATAGCAGCACTCTCAACAATAGCCAAATCATGGAAAAAGCCCAAATGTCTATCAACTGATGAATGGATAAAGAAGATGTGGTTTATATATACAATTAAATACTATTTGGCAATGATAAAGAATGAAATTCTGCCATTTGCAACAACATGGATGGAATTGGAGGCTATTATGCTCAGTGAAATAAGTCAGTCAGAGAAAGATAGATATCATATGTTTTCACTCATATGTGGAACTCGTGAAACTTAACAGAAGACCATGGTGGAAGGGAAGGGGAAGAAATAGTTTCAAACAGAGAGGGAGGCAAACCCATGAAAGACTCTTATATAGAGAACAAACTGACAGTTTCTTGGGGGCGAGAAGGGGAAAATGGGTGGTGGGCATTGAGAAGGACACTTGTGGGGATGAGCACTGGGTGTTGTACGTAAGCAATGAATCATGGGAATATACCCCTGAAACCAAGAGCACTTTGTATACACTGTATGTTAGCTAACTTGACAATAAATTATATTTTATTAAATCAATCAATCAATCAATCAAATAAAAATGTAAATCGGTGACGCCTGGGTGGCTCAGTCAGTTAAGTGTCTGACTTTCAGCTCAAGTCATGATCTCACAGCTCTTGAGTTTGAGCCCTACATTGGTCTGTCTAATGTCAGCACAGAGCTTGCTTCGGATCCCCTGTCCCCCTCTCTCTCTGCCCCTCTCTGTGCAGATGCTCCCACTCTGTCTCAAAAATAAATAAACAGTTTTTAAAGGGTAAAAAATTTAATTGTGTCTAGGAAGATATTTGTGGTAAGTATTTCCTGTGCATCAAGACAACTGACCTAATTTTGTTTGCAGTGGAAATGTCTGAACCTTGAACAGAAAACATTTCTGTGCAGTATCATTTTCTCATTATAATGTTGAAAATATTCTCAACATTGGCATAACTCATTATGAAACAAGCTATAGAAAGTACATTAACAATTTGGAAGGGTTTGTATTTCATCTAAGATTAATCAGTAGGTTCAATTGGTGTTTAGATATCTTTAATTTTTGCAGTATGATCAGCTTATATTAATAATTACAAGTTTAGTCACACACATACAAACCATTTACAGTCAAATATAACCATTATCTTCATTTAAAAATGGAAAATTCATTAGGATACGGTATGGGCTGAACATACTCCTCTCCCAGCCAAAGTATTCATATATTCAAATCCTAGCCCTAGCACCTCAGTATGTGACTCAGTATGATTTGGAAAAGTGATCTTTAAAGAAATAATTAAGGGGCGTCTGAGTGGCTCAGTTGGTTAAGTGCCAACTTCGGCTCAGGTCATAATCTCACAGTTCATGGGTTTAAGCCCTTCATCAGGCTCTGTGCTGACAGCTCAGAGTCTGGAGCCTGCTTCAGATTCTGTGTCTTTTTCTCTCTATGCCCTTTCACCACTCATGCTTTGTCTCTCTAAAACAAATAAACATTAAAAAATTGTTTAAAAATAAAAAAAATAGGAGCGCCTGGGTGGCTCAGTCGGTTAAGTGTCCGACTTTGGCTCAGGTCATGATCTCACAGTTCGTGGGTTTGAGCCCCGCGTTGGGCTCTGTGCTGACAGCTCAGAGCATGGAGCCTGTTTCAGATTCTCTATCTCCCCCTCTCTCTGACCCTCCCCTGCTCACGCTACCTGTCTGTCTCTTTCTCAGAAACAAAAAAACATTAACATTTTTTAAATAATAAAGAAATAATTAAGTTAAAATGAAGCTTTTCGGGTGATCCTTTTTCCAATGTGGCTGGTGTCCTTATCAATAGAGGAGATTAGGACACAGATGCAGAGAGATCACGTGAAGAAATGGAGAAAAGACAGCCATTTACAATCCAGGAGAGTGGCCTTAGAAGAAATGAACCCTGCTGACATCTTGACCTTGGACATCCAGCTGCCAGAACTATGTGTCCCAGTCTGTGGCACCTTTTCATGGCAGCCCTAGCAAACCAGTGGACAGTGTTATGCTTTGAATCCCCAGTGCAAATACGAGGCATAGGCCAATCGCAATAAGTGCATCACACATTCATTCATCCCTTCAGTATATTCCCATGTAGTTATTCTCTGGCATTACAAAACAGCCATGGTTCAAGGGAACTTTTCCATATAATAGCAAAAACATAGATATTACCACATTGCGAATATATTATAAACATGCTTTGCATGCAAAATCTGCAGGCACATAGAAGAAGGGATAAAGTGTACCTGTTTCTACAGAACATTGAAGTCCTGAGATTTAAACAACAACAACAACAAAACCTGCTACTTAAGCAGTGCAGCTGGACACTAATGAGTCAGAAAACAACAGAGAGCAATGACAACCCACAGCCAACTGATGAGTTGGTTAGTGGTTTGCATTTATATCTCTCTCTTCTCCAAAACCATGCCTATTCCTCTAATGTTTTTAAAATTCTTAAAAGGCAATAGGTTTCACTGTATAAATCTAGCAGGAATCATTTTGTTTATAAGTCTGTATCTGAATAAGTTTGTCAATGGTGTACACAGATTCGTGTGTTGATGTTAAGTGAAGGAGAACATAAGTGGGGCCATACTGCTGTACTCTTTAACCCTTAGAGACGTTTACTTCTCTCCCATCTTCCAACACCCCTCTGCATTCTTCCAACAATTGACCTTTCTCCAATTCCCAGAGTGGGAAGGAGGAAGATGCTCCTGAAAACACTGTTCTTACATCTTGAATATTTTCAGAGAGGATAACCTCTGTTCCCTTATTTGTCATTACTGAACATTAGGTCTTCCGCAGTGACACATCTTTTCTTTTGTATTTTTTTCTATTGTGGCAATAACACATAACGTTTACCTTCCTAACAGCGTTTAAGTATATGGTTCAATAGGCTTTGTTAACCATATTTCCATGGTGAATCGTTTCTTCTTGCAAATCTGAAACTCTATAGCCATTAAACAAATTACTGTCCCTTTCTTCTCCTCCAGCCACTGGTAACAAGCGGTCTAATTGCTGTTTCTTTGAACTTTACTACTTTAGATATTTCATATAAGTGAGCTAATACACTGTTTGTCTTTTTAAAACTGGCTTATTTCACTTACCATACATCCTTCAGATTTATCATACAGTGTTGTAATATGTGACAGAATTCTCTTCCTTTTTAAGGCTGAATAATATTCTATTGCATGTACATACCATATATTGGGGTCATTTCTTTTTTTCTTTTTTTTAATTGAAGTGTAATTAACATACAATGTTATATTAGTTTCAGGTATACAACATATTGATTCAACAATTCCATACTTTACTTGGTGCTCTCTACGGTAAGTGTAGTCACCATATAACATTATTACAGTATTATTGACTATATTCCCTATGTTGTACTTTTTGTCTTCATGACTTTTTATTTTATAACTGGACGTTTATACCTCTTAATCTCCTTATCCATTTTACCCATACCCCACCCATCTTCCCTCTGGTAAACCATCAGTTTGTTCTCTGTGTTTAAGAGTGGGTTTTGTTGTTGTTGTTTGTTTTGTTTTCAGAAAACAAAAATGGAACATTTATTCATAACTCAAAAAAAAAAAAAAAAAAAAAACCTCCAAGCGAGTAGAGTGAGAAATTAAATATAAACACAGTGGCTTCCACCCCAGCCCAAGCCTGCATGGTCATACAGAATCTCTGGAGAAAACATCTGGACAACAGAGGTGCGGTCAGCGTTGCCTCCAGTCTACACTCCTGCTGCATCTTCGGCCACTTCTCTTGCCCTTTGGTGGACCTTGAAGAAAATACCAGTCCACACTGATGGGCTGTTCCATCAAATCCTGGCTATTGAGTCCCTCCAGGGCACGCTGGGCCTCCTTGTATGTTTCATCCTCAACTAGAGTATACCCCTTCAGGTATTCTCAATGCCTGTCCAAGTTGAGGTGAATGTTTTTTATTTCTTCACACTCTGCAAACTTATCATGTACGTCTTCTTCAGTGGCTTCCTCCTGACTCCAGTGACAAATGGAATCCAGCCTTCAATAGAATGTCGTGGTCCAGATTCATGGCCATTCTCTCCCACACTGTCATAATCCTCCCACATTTGTGCTCCAAAACCCTTCTTTGGGACCAAAGCCATGGCCCTTCCATTTCTTCACATTTTCTTTTTTCTTTTTTTCCTAGGAGAGAGAGAGAGAGAGACAGCGTGAGGAGGGGAGGGTCAGAGAGAGAGGGAGTCACAGACTGAAACAGGCTCCAGGCTCTGAGCTGGCAGTCAGCGCAGAGCCCGACGCGGGGCTCGAACCCACGAACTGCGAGATCATGACCTAAGCGAAAGTCGGACGCTTAACTGACTAAGCCACCCAGGCGCCCCTTCACATTTTCTTTCAATTTATGGATGCTTTCCTCCCCATCCTCATCCATAGGGAAATCCTTGCTCCCAGCCTCATGAAGATCCAGTATGTCTGCCATCTTGCCTTCCTTCTTTAACAGTGTTTTTCTTTTTATTCATTTATTTGTTTGCTTTTTTTTTACGTTCCACATATGGGTGAAATCATATGGTATTTGTCTTTCTCTGACTGACTCATTTCACTTAGCATAATACCCTCTAGGAATGTCCATGTTGTTGAAAATGGCAAGGCCTCATTCTTTCTTATGGCTGATTAATATCTTTATCCATTCATCTATCCATGGCTACTACTTGGGTTGCTTTCATACCGGCTGTTGTAAGTGATGTTGTTATAAGTGTAAGAATGCATGTATCTTTTCAAATTAGTGCTTTTATTTTCTTTGGATAAATACCCAGTAGTAGGATTACTGGATCATATGGTATTTCTGTTTTTAATTTTTCGAGGAACCTCCATAAAAAAGCCAGTTTTCCACAGTGGCTGTACCAATTTACATTCCCACCCATATCACATGAGAGTTTTTTTCTCTCTACATCCTCACCAACAATTGTTATTTCTTACCTTTTTTATTGTAGCCATTCTGATAGGTGTCCACCAGCCAGAGACCCTTTGTCAGCTGGCTGGGCAGAGGGGTACCGCCCTGGAACTAGGGCACTCAGAGCAGGATCCTTTAAGACATTGGGGTTTGCAACCCAACAAAGCAACTGGGAGGTGTGTGAGACTGTGGAGTGGGAAAACCGCCCAGTTCATGCCCTTATGGCACTGTGAGGACGGCCTGAACAGAGTGGTCTGGGACACCTGGTACCAGGAGGAGACACTAGGGTGTCACGATTTTTCTCCCCATCACCAAGAAGGTGGGGCTTCAGGGAATGGGACAGAGGGCCCATAGAGGAGGCGAGACCAACCTCCACAAACCACGCCCTTCCATGCCTGGTAACTGCATATCTACTGGAGCAAGACTGACCCTGACCAAACCAGGTGGCTCCTCCTTCAGACCAACACTGCCACCAAGTCCAAGGCATCATCAGATATAAGTCCAGAGGTTTTGCATTTTCCGATTTGATTCTTGGTCAATTCTTATTTATACATATATTTTTTTCTTCCTTTTCTTCCTCTTATTTCTTCCCTTCTCTATTCTAGTTGTTGGTTTGTTTAAGCAGACATTTTAAATAAGCTATTAAAACACATAAGGAACAGAAAACTAGCCAAAATGACAAAACAGAAGAATTCTACTCAAAAGAAATTACAGGAAGAAATGACAGCAAGATAATTACTCAAAACAGATATAAACAATATATCTGATCAAAAATTTAGAATAATAGTTATAAGATTAATAGCTGGGCTTGATAAAAGCATGGAAGACAGCAGAGAATGTATTGCTGCAGAGATCAAGGAACTAAGAAACGGTCATAATGAATTAAATGCTGTAAATGAGGTGCAAAATAAACTAGTTGCAATGACAGCAAGGATGGAGGAGGCAGAGGGGCGAAGAAGTGAAATAGAAGATAAAATTTTGGAAAATGATGAAGTTGAGAAAAAAAAGAGATAAGAAAATTCTAGACCACAAGAAGAGAATTAGATAAGTAAGTGATCCAATGAAGTGTAATAATATCCATATCATAGGAGTTCCAGAAGAAGGAGAAGAGAGAAAGGGGCAGAAGATTTACTTGAATAAATTATAGCTGAGAACTTCCCTAATCTGGGGAAGGAGGCAGACATCCTAATCCAGGAGACACACTGGATTTAACAAGAATAGGCCTTCTCCATGGCATATCATATTGAAACTGATAAAATACAAAGGTAAAGAGAGAATTATGAAAACAGCTAGGGACAAACAGGTCTTAAAGGTAGTAGCAGACTTGTCCACTGAAACCTGGGAGGCCAGAAGAGAGTGTCAGGAAATATTCAATGTAATGAACAGGAAAAAATATGCAGAGAAGAATCTTTTATCCAGCAAAGCTATTGCTCATAATAGGAGAGAGAAAGGCTTTCCTAGACAAACAAAAACTAAAAGAGTTCATGACCACTAAATCATCCCTGCAAGAGATCCTAAGCGGGACTCTGTCAGTGAAATGCCACAAAGACTACAAAGGACCAGAGACATCACCACAAGCATGAAACCTGCAGATAACACAATGATGCAAAATTCATATTTCAATAATCACTCGGAATGTGTACTAAATGCTCCAATCAAAAGAGATAGGGTATCATAATGGATTAAAACACCAACATATATATGATCCATCTAGAGTTGTCTACAAGAAACTCATTTTAGACCTGAGGACACCTTCAGACTGAAAGTGAGGGGATGAAGAACCATCTATTATGATACCGGAAGTCAAAAGAAAGCATGAGTAGCCATACTTATGTCAGACAAGCTAGTTTTAAACTAAAGTCTATAAAAAAAGATGAAGAAGGGCATTATATCATAAGTACAGAGTCTATGCATCAAGAAGAGCTAACAATTATAAGTGTTTATGACCCCAACATGTGACACCCAAACACTCAATCACAAACATAAACAATCTTATTGATAAGAATATGGTAATTGCAGGGTACTTTAATACTCCACTCACAGCAATGGACAGATCTTCAAGGCAGAAAATCAATAAAGAAATAAGGGCCTTGTATGATATACTGGGCCAGAAGGACTTGACAGATATGTTCAGAACTTTTCATTTAGAAGAAACAGAATCCACATTTCTCTCAGGTGCACATGGAATATTTTCCAAGTTAGATCACATACTGGGTCACAAAATAGTCCTCAATAAATATAAAACAATTAAGATCACACCACGCATACCAAATTATAATGCTGTGAAACTTGAAATTAACCCCAAGGAAAAATTTGGAAAGCCTCCAAATGCATGGAGGTTAAAGGACATAGTACTAAAGAATGAATGGGTCAACCAGGCAATTAAAGAAGAAATTTAAAAATGAAAGCAAATGAAAATGAAAACACAACAGTCCAAATCCTTTGGGATGCAGCAAAGGCAGTCATCAGAGGAATATACATTGCAATTCAGACCTATATCAAGAAACAAGAAATATCCCTAAATTACAAAAAAAAAAATCTCTAAAATACAAAACCTAACCACATACCTAAAGGAACTAGAACAGCAAAGAAACTCCAAACCCAGAAGGAGAAATAATAAAGATTAGAGCAGAAATAAACAACATAGAATCGGGGGGGGGGGAGGGGAGGAATGGAGACCCAGCAAATCTAAGAGCTATTTTTAAAAAAACAAACCAAAAAAACACACCAAAATTGATACCACCCTAGCCAAACTTCTCTGAGGTCTGAGAACAGAGAAAACAAATAGAAAAAAATCACGAATGAAAGAGGAGCGATCACAACGAACACCACAGAAATACAAATAATTTCTAGAGAATACTGTAAAAAGTTACATGCCAGCAAACTGGGCAAACTGGAAGAAACGGACAAATTCCTAGACCATTACCTAGTTTCCATTTACCAAACTAGTTTTCCATTACCAAAATTCCAACGGCAAGAAATAGAAAATCTGAACAGACCCATAAGCAGTGAAGAAACTGAATCACTTATCAAAAATATCCCAACAAATAAGGGTCCTTGACCAGATAGCTTCCAGGGGGAATTCTACCAGACATTTAAAACAAACTTGATACCTATCCTTCTCAAGCTGTTTCAAAAAAATAGAAAACTACCTCCTAGTTTCAAGGAGGTCTAAGGTGGAAAGTTCTTTTCATTATGGGTAACCGTGATTCACTGTTTAGACCAGTAAAATCAGAGCCGGTAAGGAAGTAAGGGTTATAAATAAATTCAAGTTACGAATAAAAGATAAAAGGAAAATAGATACTGTAGGTTAACAAGCAGTGGATGCCGCATATGTCATTAATAAACATCACAGATCCTAAAAAAAAAAAAAAAAAAAATCCCATCGCCCCCGCCCCCAGCAGCACCCCCGGCTCCAGCACCCCTGGGCCCGGCACCCCGGTCCCTACAGCCGGAAGTGTCCCATCGCCGTCGGGCTCGGTGCTGGGAGCCGCTGCCCCTTTCAGACCCCTGTTTAACGACTTTGGACCGCCCTCCATGGGTTATGTGCAGGCTATGAAGCCACCGGGCGCCCAGGGCTCCCAGAGCACCTACACGGACCTGCTGTCGGTCACAGAGGAAATGGGCAAAGAGATCCGGCCGACCTATGCCGGCAGCAAGAGCGCCATGGAGCGCCTGAAGAGAGGCATCATCCATGCCCGGGCCCTAGTCAGAGAGTGCCTCGCAGAGACAGAGCGGAACGCCCGCACGTAACAGGACGCGACTCTGCCTCCGAGTCTGGACCTTTCCCGGCCACTGCAGAGCACCTGCTTCTCCCTGGCCTTCACCCTGAGTTGCACTTCCCAGCCTGGGCTTCCTGTCCTGTCTCCCTTGGTGGGTGCCCTCCAGGAACCAGGGGGCAGCTCTCAACTCCAGTCGACAGCACTAACTGGGACTCTTGCAAGAGTTAGCAGCGAGGTCACTGTGAGTCGCACCCATGACCTGCCAACAGTGTTGATCCAACTGGAGCTTTCTCCTTTCTGTGGCCCCCACCACTCAGCGCTTACCCAAGACTTTTCACCACTTTTCCCAGACCCCTCCTGTAGCCGGGCCTCCCGGGGCCTCTCACCTCCCTGCCTTGTCTCCTGGGCCATAGCGACTTTTTTTTCAGTGTCTTTTGCTAAATATGCCCTTTTTGTATAAATAAAAGATAATTTGGAAAAAAAAAAGAGAAATCAAGAAATCGATCCCATTTGCAATTGCCCCAGGAACCATAAGATACCTAGGAGTAAACCTAACCAAAGATGTAAAAGATCTGTATGCTGAAAGCTATAGAAAACTTATGAAAGAAATTGAAGAAGACACAAAGAAATGGAAAAACATTCCATGGCTCATGGATTGGAAGAACAAATAGTGCTAAAATGTCAATACTATCAATGCAATCTACACATTCAATGCAATTGCAATCAAAATTGTGATGGCTTTCCTCTCAAAACTAGAACAAACAATCCTAAAATTTGTATGGAACCACAAAAGACCCTGAATAGCCAAAGTTATGTTGAAAAACAAAACCAAAGCACGAGGCATCACAATCTCGGACTTTAGCCTCTATTACGAAGCTTTAATCATCAAGACAGTATGGTATTAGAACAAAAACAGATGCATACACCAATAGAATAGAGAACCCAGAAATGGACCCACAGATGTACAGGCAACTAGTCTTTGACAAAACTGGAAAGCATATCCAATGGAAAAAAGACAGACTCTTCAGCAAATGGTGCTGGGAGAATGGGACAGCCACATGCAAAAGAATGAAACTGGACCACTTTCTTACACCCTACACAAAAAGAAACTCAAAATGGATGGAAGATTTAAATGTGACACAGGAAACCATCAAAACCCTAGTGGAGAACACATGTAACAACCTCTTTGCTCTGAGCCGCAGCAACTTCTTACTTGACACATCTCCAAAGGCAAGGGAAGTAAACACAAAAATGAACTATTGGCACCACATGAAGATAAAAAGCTTTTGCATAGCAAAGGAAGCAATCAACAAAACTAAAAAACAACTGACAGAATAGGAGATAATATTTGCAAATGACATATCAGATAAAGGGTTAGTGTCTAAAATCTATAAAGAACTTACCAAACTCAACACCTGAAAAACAAATAACCCAGTGAAGAAATGGGCAGAAGACATGCATAGACATTGGTGGGAATGCAACTGGTGAAGCTGCTCTGGAAAACAGTATGGAGGTTCCTCAAAAAATTTAAAATAGATTTACTCTACAACCCAGCAATAGCATTACTATGAATTTATCCAAAGGATACAAGAGTGCTTATGCATAAGGGCTCATGTACTCCAATGTGTATAACAGTGCTTTTGACAATAGCCAAATTATGGAGAGAGCCCAAGTGTCCATCAACTGATGAATGGATAGAGAAGATGTAGTTTATATATACAGTGGAATTGCTACTTGGCAATGAGAAAGAATGAAATCTTGCCATTTGCAACAATGTGATTGGAACTGAAGGGTATTGTGCTAAGTGAAATAAGCCAGTCAGAGAAAGACTTCTCACTCATATGTGGAACTTGAGAAACTTAAGAAAACCATGAAGGAAGGGAAGGGTAAAAATTTCAGAGAGAGAGGCAAACCCATAAGAGACTCTTTTTTTTTTTAATGTTTTATTTATTTCTAGGGGGGAGAGAGAGAGAGAGAGAGAGACAGCGTGAGCAGGGGAGGGTCAGAGAGAGAGGGAGTCACAGACTCTGAAATAGGCTCCAGACTCTGAGCTGGCAGTCAGCACAGAGCCCGACGCGGGGCTCGAACCCACGAACCGCGAGATCATGACCT